TCTACTGAGGCTCATTTTTGGGCTAAAAATTGTGTGTGCATGTTTTGATTTGTACTCCCACTCTCTTCATTCCTACTGGAACAACTCTATTTGAGCATAAAGAGCTCAGCGCTCATGTAAATTCAGACTGCCTGCGGTTATGTACAGTAATGTCTCTCTTTCTGTGTGTGAACATGACTTGGAGGAGAGAGAGAGCAAGACAGCTGTGAAATGTGTGATAGGCCAATCAGCCAGTGGCTGATGTGAGGCAGAGATCACTGCACTGCAAGTCTCCCATCATTGGTTTACAGATGCAGGGAAACTGCAGATTTAAAGTTATGAGTCTTTTGTTCTGAACTGATCTTGCTTTCAGTATCTCCAGATAGTGTCCCTCATAAATTCATGAAATCCTGTTTATGAAAACCCCAAGGAACCATGCTTGTTATTATCTCCACCAGGAAGATCAAATGATCGGTCGCACATGTAAGTGAGTCCTTCAGTGATTGAGTGAGTGTGCACCTCTGTGTCGGTCCAAGGTTAATCTTACATTCTGCTGCAGCAAGCTGTATTATGTTTTGGGTTCCCAGTCATGGCTGCGTGCTCAAGGACCTCCCATGGTCGTGGTGACTTGCACTTTCTCAAAACACCTTTTATTACCTGTTTTATTCTACCTTTGGCTGCCTGCTGACTCCTCACTCACTATTATTGGCCCCCAGCCGCCCACAGACGGGGCGTAACAGTTTATGGTGTGTTTGGCTAACGGCTAATGGAAATACCAGTATACAGACTGTTGTGTACCTCTTGGCTGCTGCTCTGTGGCCCTCTGTTATTGTTTGGACGGTGTGTTTGGCTAACCGCTAACAGAACTACCAGTACACACACTGCTGTACCTCCTAAATATTGTATGGCGTGTTGTATATATGACGGTTTCAATCATTGCAAGGATACATTGCCGCTTGTTTTTGAGTTTGAATAAAGTGAGTTTTACGATGTCTTACAGGTGTCTAGACGAGGGTTAGCCGTTTGTGGGTTGTGTTCATTCAATCGCGCACTACAACAGTGGTCGTTGCAGACACACCTGGTGGAGATCTGCACTCTACTGAGTGCACCTTTCTTGTTTATGATGTTTCTTCTGCAGTGCCTTCACTGAGCAATGGTTTGTTGATAGCTTATGTCTAATGCAGCTAATGTAGTGAATCCAGAGTAGCAAATGAATGACGGGCTTAGTTTTTCTCATTGCTGCTGCCTTGTCTTAGATTTACCGCTCTAATCCAGAGGAATTAAAGAGTCTCAGGAAGCAGCCTCTGTCTGTTAGTAAGAGTTCAAACAGAGTTAACAAGCTGGTTGGCTTTAGCTTAATCGCGCCCTAGCAAACTTAATAGGCATCTAGCTATCTGCATGTTCTCAAGTAAGTAACAGTGTAAGTGAGAGTTAAAGCTTGTGTCAAGAATACACATCTTGTTTACCATAGAAACGTTATTTTATTTTGTGACTGAAGGAGTCACAAGGCAAGAGGCAGAGATCTCAATCTTTGTTTCCTTTTTTCCATTTTTACTTTAGGACTCCACCCACCGTCTCTGCCTCTTGCTCATTTGGCTCAGAGTATTGAGCACCAATGAGGGATTTGGAGGTAAATGGGGTTGATGGAAACTGAATGATTACTGTGATCATTGTCCTGTTGGCTCTCACAAGGAGAGCGTTTACTTTCTTGTGTGCAGCTTGCTCAGCCATTTACAGCCTTTTCCACTGCCCTAAATTCTTACCACCTGCTGTTGTGTGACATTTGTTCTTGGAACACAGCCCTTACTTAAGATTAAGAGAAGGAATTCCCACCCCTTAATAATCTACTGCAGTGTATTGATACTGTATCGGTTGTGAATATATTTGGATAATAGATGTTTTGGTTTGTTTTAATGCCTCGAAAAACAAAACTGCCCACTTATTGTATTTGTAAAACCATTATTTGGTTATGCTCATGTTCAATACACAGATTCCTTTTGATATTTCCGTACACACTTGAAGCCCTTGACCTGTATTTCCTCTGTTACCAAGCTAAGCAGGGACGAAAGTACAGCAAGAAATACAGAGTACATAGACTGATGGTGAGCGCAGGAGAAGGTCAGGCATACGAGGGGGGTTGTCGCATCTCTGAGGGCAAACTTCAGTTTAGCCTCAAGACACGTCAGCCAGCCAATACAGAACCCTGCGAACAGTTCACTTCCCTGATTGGCCTAAACAAGCACTAGCAGGACAGGGCTGGCGATGGAGTGCCAATGGCTGCTAATGCTTGCAGAGGTTGACAAGAGCAAAGAGAAACATGGACAATGCAGTTTGACATTCATACACTCCTTTACTCCTTTGCTTGACATAATCTGCTACACAGATTTTGTTTTGTTTAAGGAAAACATTTATACTTAATTATTGCAGACCAAACAACAAATTTGTTCAAGTATTTATTCCTTATTTAGATACACTCATTTTAACTAGGGAATTGTAAACGGTGCCGTTTAAAGAAAAGTTAAAACCATATTTTAACAGACTTTGTCATTTAACACAATTCCTTGACCTCTTTTAATTCTTGCCTTTTCAAACGTGTGTCCATGAAGGCACCATTTGTCTCCATTCCCCTGGGTGTCACAGGCTAGCTTACAAGTACTTTATCACAAACCACAGCAGGGCTAGCCTTGCAGAGAGATGGGTGTGTGTAGAGGTGAAAGTAAATGAGAATACAGCCACGGGCCTTCTCGACAAAGAGGTATAATATTCCAGCCCAGAGGTCCTTTTCTTCACAATAAGCCTGTTGCCTCAGGTGGTGCTGGAACAAGCATGTCTGTTGGGCAACAGCTCGAAAATGTGGCCTGATCACCTAACAGTGTCACGTGACCTAAAGCAAAAGTTAGACCTTTTGGCAACCAGGCGGGACTCGAAAGATACCGTGCCTGGATTTCCTGGATTTTGGTTTCCCTGCCAGAGGAAAGACACTACTCACTTCAGCAATCCCCTGAGGGGGCGGTCTCACATTGTCCTCAAACAAATGACCAGCGTCCTTCATACCAACACAGCCCGCTGAGTGGATGGAAAAATGACAGGATAGCCTTGACGTTGAAAATGTCTGCACACCAGAGGAAGCAGTGTGTGAATAAAGGTCAGAGGTCATTGAGAAATATTATCTAATATCTGCATGTAATAGTGTCTCACTATAATACCTTGCTGCGCCACAACAGAGTCCGATTTTAAACACATACTGTACATGGTGATTCTTACACCTGAGCCCTGACAGTATGGTGTGGCGATCAGCTGCCCAGTTCCAGAGTGAAAGCTCATCTGAAGAATGTCATCCACTCCAGCTATCTCAAACCTTTTCAAATCTGCCACAGCTCGGCATGTAAGCATATTACATGGACACTTCTCTTCTACTCTGACTGAATGTTTTTATTTGAGGCCATGTAAAGAGGCCAACAGTTTGCCTCAAAGATTAGACAAAGGGGGCATATGAAGGCCAAGAAATACTGTTATTGATTATTGATGAACATTTTGGGGATACTGCATCCTGTTTCATTTTTAATTGATGCTGTCTGAATGTAGGACATGCAGAGCTGTCACGTGAAGTGTCTTATGTATTATTAATCAACTGAGGCCGACAGCAATGGTATTAATTGCTGTTGTCAGATGCCTCACTCCTACTCGGCTCCTTTGTCTCCTTTTCTCTCAGCCTCCAACTCTTCTTTTTACTGTGGAGATTGTTTGTGCTCTTTAGCTTTTCCGGACCACCAGTTCTTCTGATACCCATCTTACACACACACACATACACACACACTTACCCCCACTGTGTCAGCCCCCAATCTCCCCTAGAGGATCCATCTGTCCACAATCTTATGCCATTTTGTGCTCCTCCCCCTTACTCTTGTTTCAAGAATGTGTGTGTATGTATACTGTACATATGCCTCACAGTGTGTGGGTGCACTTGTGTGTGGTGGGGAGTGGGATAATGAATGGATATTTTGCTGCTTTGTCTTCCTACTTGTCCACCTACAGCAACTGTGTGTGTGTGTGTGTGTGTGTGTGTGCGTGTGCGTGTGCGTGTGTGTGTGCGTGCGTGCGTGCGTGTGTGCGTGTGTACACAACTGGCTATAGTTTAAAACTAACTCCTGTTTCTGTCTCAAGGGGTGGGTGGTGGTGGGTATAAATGGAAAAGCGCTCTGAGCTGCGGAGAAAGTGTTGATCACAGTGTGGCACAGAATAGGAAAAGCAAGACAAATTACCCTGTGGCCCAAACGCTAACTGTACTGCTTTCCTGTGACTCCGCATTAACTCTGCAGTATTCCGGATGTCACCCGGATGTTTTGACCTTGTCCTGTTGTTATGCTCTGTCTCTCTATGCTGTTCACTCAATCACATACGGAGTCACTGAGTCACAATCTTATCTTAAGAAACAATTATTTCACATCTAAAAAATACTCAAGTCACATATATGCAGCTTAAACATGCACAGTAGAATGACTTAAAGCCTGTAGAATCTGATACACTAATTCAGAATAATGTGATGGTAATAACACTGGTGAACCAAACAACATCATCTGATCATCTGTTCACAAATACATCACTATTAAATAAAGCCGCTGGTATTCACAATAAGCGAATGCACCCTTGAGTAGTGGTAGAAAGTTACTAATTTCCTAATTTGTAATACTATACCAAAGTACAATTTTGAGGTACTTCTACAGTACTGTACTTGTACAGCCCATAGCAAGACTTTACTTGTTCATAAAAACTAATGTGTTGCTATAGTTTGAACAACTAGACGGAATAAAGTAGTTCAAATTCACTCCTGGACCAGGTAAAACAAAGTAAAATGAGCTTATGGTGTTTCTCACCAAATGCATTGTGTGCAATTATTGCCTTACCTTTACATATGTAAAATGTGAGCCTGCTGCCTCTGAATATCAAAACAAGTAAATTAGTTTTATTCCCTTCTGAATATCATCTATCTTTTACATTGTTCCTTACCCTTCCTCCTCCAGATTATCTGCCTGCAGGACTTCTTCGGGGACGACGATGTGTTTATAGCGTGCGGTCCGGAGAAGTACCGCTATGCTCAGGACGACTTTGTGTTGGATCAAAGTGGTAAGGCTTCCACAGCCTTTATGACTGGTAGGCCTGACTAAGACTAACTAAACGTGTGTGTGTGTGTGTGTGTGTTCACATCAGTGTCCTTCCTCACCATTCTTCCCTCACTAGTGCTTGCAACGTGCTTTTCCTTTAGGAAGTTGACAGCAGGATAGGTTTGTGTGTGTGTATAGAATATAATCAGTGCTACACATTTACACACACACACATTCTGTAAGGAGTGCACACAGGCAGGATATGACCTCCTTAAACCAGCAGATCCATTCACTGTTAAAGCTAAGTATAATATCAGCTCATATTGCACAACCTTGTGGGAAGGAAAAGGTAGTTTATTATAGTAACAATCCGATTATTGACATCCTGTTTAATTTTTTATTGTTGTGTCAGGTTAGCTAACAACAGGGAGGCATATCTTAATACACACTGTGTTAAAGGTGCAGTATGTAAGATATAGCCACATGCTCCAAAGAAATAGGGGGCAGCATTTCACCTCTACCACTGAGTCCATAGAAACTAAATTGAATGTTACATCCGTTAAAAAATAGAATAAAATAATAAAAGCCGAACTACTAACTAACAGCAGGGCAAGAATATGCAAAATTCCCAGTGCTGCCGCTGGCCACAGCCCACTGTGACTTCCGGCGCTGGGGTTTGCAGCGGCTGAGCTGCTACAGATAGCCACTATCTGAAGGTTTTATTTTTAAAAAGAATTCTGCCAATAAACAAATTACCAAATATACATAGACCCTGTACCTACAACATGGAGCTTCTTCATTCTGTAGACTGACGGCAGACTGGATGCTACAGTGACTCTCTATCGCCTCTTAAGGAACAAGTGGCATTACAAGACAAAATGGGCCGGGGCGAGCTGGTTAGCGTGCTCATTTCCGTAGATATCTCTGCAACACAATACATAAACGTCTTTCACATAACATTAACACTGTAACCTCTTCACCTTCCGTTGATAATATTAGTTCATGTTTTGGATGTTTTTAACTCAAATTCTAGCCATATCTTACACATTGCACCTTTAACTGTTACTGAGGATGAGTGCATGAGTGATGGTGCATCGGTCCTATTCAGAGATAGTTTTGAGCTTCCGTCCCACTTACACTCCTCTGCTCCACTTTTAAGAATTAGGTCTTTGAAAGAACAAAAAAGGCACACTGTAACTATGCTGAAGGTACAGAGGCTGCTCTTCTTTTGCAAAATGGGTCTAATACACAATCTACTGTTTAAAAGAACAAAAAAATGTTTGTTGTAATGGTGTAATAAGAAAAACGTCTTAAAACTGACCATATATCTTTTCTCAGCTAAAGAGCTTTTAGATTAGAGGGGTTGTCCTAGAAAACGATTTGGTTTGTTGGTGTTTTTATGTCAACCACAAGCAAGTTTATTATATTGAGGTACCCTTTTAATCAGTCAGTGAAATATGTATGTGATGATAAATAGCATGGGGAGCACATTACAAATGCAAGTGTGCTTCTGTGTCTGTCATTACATTATACCTCTCACCGCCCCCACCCTCATTAATACAGACCTGACAAGTCTACTACAAGCTTCACAACATCTGCTCTCGCTGCACACAGCTACAAAGCAAAACCAGCAGAGGCATGCAGCAAACAGCATAAAAGCTAAAGCTGGTGGATTCTCTTTTTTCATGTGTTCATGGTGTGCAGTGACCGTTTAAGCCCAATTGCTGTATTCCAAAGGAAAACACAAGCTGTTGTAATTGCTTTACTCTTGTTGTAAAAGACATCACTGGTGTGTACCAAATCTTTGGGTGAGAGTCTCTGTATCAGCCTCTGTATGTAGTAGACACATGTGTCTATTTTTGAAAGTTGCCAGGTCATATATGTAGTCTTGTTTACTTATCCTTTAATCAGATAGTTATTCCGTTGAATAATTTATTGTACGGCTGCTTGTTTTCAACAACATTTCACATTTGAGAAGTTTATTCAGGTCATAGAAGGTTACGTTATCCAATTATAATTTTAGATAAGTCAGGAATCAGCAGGACACTGTATGCAAAAAAGTATTGTTTTGGTATTGGTACCTAAACTAAAAAAAGACTAATGATACCGAATATCATTTCATCAATTTGTTCTTCTGTGCTTTTCAATCTGTTTTGACTAAACACTATTTGCGACTATTTTATTTGGTGCTTCTCTGTCCCGATGTGTGACCAGCATTCATTAAATCATGCAACATCAATAAAATTTCCAGGGTCATATCCCTGGTACAGCAGCTTGTTATGCATAATTGTGCCACATTAACTCTGACTGAGAAGAAAGAACAGGTTTGTTTATAAGGGAAGGTTAATATATGCGATGGTGACCGACTGAGCGTGTCGTCCCCCCAGAATGCAGAGTGGTAAAGACGTCGCACAGCCGCCCTGCTACTCCAAACCGGACAGCTAAGAGCCCCAGACCTTCGCGGCGCAGCAGGTCCCCTGGTGCAGGTAAAACACATGACTGTACACACATAACAACTGTCTGTATTAACTCTGTTAAATGAAGAGATATCCATGCGTATTTAACATAGTAACTTGTAAATAGATAATATATGAAAGGTCAAGTCTTTTATCATTATATGTGTAGAAAAATATGTTAAACAAGTCTAATCCCCTTTATCTGATGCCAAAAAGACGACACTGTAAGGTCATCTCTGTTTGACAGGCTGAGTAATAGCTTTGTTATTCAGCAGCTTCATCCTGAACCCTCAGTTGTGACAGAATGACTTTGCAATTTGTGTGGTGCATTGAGAGCCGGTGACATTCTGCTGATTAATGAGTGTTCTACAAGCCATTACGTCAGTTTAAAAGAAGAGATATGTGAGCGGTTGCCAGTTTGGAGAGCTTGCAGTCTAAGTTCAGCCCTGGAAGTTCCAAACTCTTTCAATGTATGTTGTAATGTGATTATACCGAATGATATCTGACTATTCTTTATGTCTGCTTTTGACACTGCAGCAAGACAACCTGTCCACTACTCCACCAGTCAGTCTCCAATCAAAACCCCAGGTGAGGCTCGTGATACCGACACAAAGTTTGCCTAATCAAACACCTGCCATATCAATTCTCTGGGTGCCCTTCTCGTTTTACAATGTTTTACCTTTTCTATCCATCTAATGTGAAAGCCAGCTGCTGCAGATCCACTGATTCAAAGCCATGCACTGATTAGACTCACTTCTGAGATGTGTTAATTAAATCCTGCTCTCACTGAACAGTTAGATCACATGCCTGTAAATCTGTAGCAGCTGAGGTGCTGAAAAGTTAAACTACTTTTGACACATTAAAAAGCTACTGCTTTGTTTAAAATGTTCCCAGATAGTGCTTCAAAAGCTCCTTTATAAAAACAGGATAAATACCCAGGGGAAAGGTATGTGAGAAGCTCTAAGTGAATACACAATGAAACAAAAACTCTGAAGCAGTAGTGTAAAGACGCAGCCTGTAGGGAGTGTGAAGTGGTTTTCCTCAGCTCAGCTGGGTTTACGCAGATGAAGAGATTTTGAGTTACAGTTTGACGCATTATGTCTCTGTATTCGTGCCAGAAACCAAGAGAGACGTTGGCAGAAGTAATCTGTGCTTGAGAGAATGAATCGCTCAAACAATAAAAGCTCTCATCTTTGCTGCGTGCCTGTGTATATTATGAATATGTGTTATATAGCAATACTATGTCCATTAATATTTTGGTACAAACTGAACCAAATCATTTGAGGCATACATTATTTTACCATGTATATGTTAGAATCATATTCATTCAGTACATCAATTGCAAAAGGATTCAGCAGTTTAGACCGTAGTCCATGTGTGCCAACTCTTTCTCCTAAAGTAATAGATTTCACAGTTGTGACGCTGTAAGTAATGTGTTAGAACTGTGGGTAAGTGCTGTTTGGTTTTTTTGTGTGGAGGTGTTTCTTGTCTTGGAGGTTATTATTGTAGTTTTGCAGTTTAACAGATGGCAAAAATGTTGAATGTGAAACCTAAAGAACACACAAAGAAAATAACACCAGTTGCCTGCAGGTGGCACAAGCTACAACCTGCTAAATGTGAATGTGTGAGTTAGTTGGAGCCAGTAACGTGTCCTAAACATTTTAACGCTTTCACACCGGCGACAACCATGGCATTATGTTTTTGGGTTGTTCGTCGGTACCACTGAACCAACGTAATACCCCAGGAATTACTTCAAATATAGCACAAACGTCCACTTTGAATCAAGGATGAGCTCATTAGATTGTGGTGGTCAAAGGTCACTGTGATAACTCAGGCATATAACCAAGTGGCAGCTATTCTAGTCTTATATATGCTAGTGCTCTCTCCTGGAGGCATTGTTGTGGATCACATATAAATATTATGGGCTACCTGGTAGCGGAAAGAAAGGCAGCTTTAGACAAGCTGAGTCACAGGCAAGTAGTTTCATCCACTCACACATTTGTGGATTCTGTACAAACCACACTTGTACTCACAATCCTAATGACTCTTTCCTCTGCTCTTGCATGTGTCCTTCCTTTTTTTTATCCACGTAGTAAACAGTGTCTCAAGCAGCCAGATCTCAACTCCCAAGTCCACCACTCCGTCGCCCACCAGTCCCCGAACCGTCCCCAGTTTTAAGGTAAGACGGTATATCACAGCCATGTGTGTCCGTAATAAAATACGTTTTTGAGAAGTCAATCTATGACCTAGAGGTCTATGCACAGTCCATGTTGCCCATGCTGCAGCTCTGTGATGTATTTTTGGTCGAGTCAGAGATACTAATCTGTTTTATTGATGGATTCTTCTGTAAGCTGCGTGTCAGTCCCAAACTACAGAGTTTCTAACTGCAGCAGCCAGCTGGCAAACCTCCTCCAGAGTGCCACCATTCCTCTCTAAGCCCAGTCAGAGACTTATCCATTCACATTCATTTGGCAGGACACTAGATTTTTATGATTTACTGACGGCTTTAAAATTCACTGGCAAGAGGTAGAGTAACACTTTTTAGAAGAAATGAAATGAGGAAGCACAAGGATGTCAATAACATAGCTGCTCACTCTCCAAGTTCTAAACACGACCATGACAATGTTCCATTTCTACTTTAGTCCAGAGGACGACCCTTTTAGACTGAATAATAGATCCTTACTGTCAGGTATAGGGCATTATGATGCAGAACTCTGCTGTACATAATGGAAAGGATCACCGGTCTTATTTTAATGCTGCATTTATGGCTGACATTTCAAAAATATAGCCATAAGATTTTGAAATTGCCATGGCTGTGCTCTGCAGAAAGGACGCTCTTAAGAAATGAATCATTCATTTGGAGCCATAATGGTTTTATGTGCAGTGATAATGGAGGAGGATATATATCCCAGTAGCTCTGGCACCTTGGACATTTTGAAGGGCAGGCTTAGTTTAGACCTTGTTCACTATTTAAGTAATATTATTAATGTACAAGTTGTACTGTGTCAAAAAATGCCACGTTTGGTAGAATATCTTACCATACTGTATAGCCACATGTAGTATGTTGAACATTGGCATTTTATGTGTGAATAGACAATAATTGGCCATAAAAATTGTGCAGGTTGCAAAATTAAATGTATAATGAGTGTAATCTTTCATTTCATGCCATCTTAAACATTTTTATGCAACACAATGCCGTCAGTCAAAGCCTTTAAAAACAACGACCTACCAATGATAAACCGTTGTTTTATCCATGTACAGCACGTTCTGTGGGTGCTGTTGAAGCCTGAGGTCATCTGTCTGAGGGTTTAGTTTTAGGCCAGGCTCTCACCTCTATTTTTGTTTCTTTTTGCATCCTGCAGGTCCCTCCGTCACTTTACAGCTCATCCTCAAATGTAAATGGATCGCTAAACAACCACCAGGAGCAAAGTGATCGACTGAGTCCAGAGGGTACGTCTTCTCCCACGCTCTCAATTCACCTGATCTGACACTGTTACATGGACTCCATCACCCTCTAGCATGTAGAAATGACATTGAATCACCTCATCTTTTCCCATCAGAACACATTTAACAATTTGCTTACACAACAAAAGTGGCAAAGAGTGGGCCTCGTGTGGATGATAAGAGTGGAACATTCCAGTGCTGTGTGAGCAGATACTCGTCGAAATGATTTTAGGGCTGTGCGTGTGTGTGTCGACATAATATTACTGCTCAGTTCAATAATCACCACCGGAGGACTAAAGGAGATTGCTGTGCATCTTGGAGCCTGTGTGTTACTTTGTTGCACAGCGTGTGGTTCCATCAGTCTGAGAACTGGTTGAGTTGCTGTCAGAGCTCCCTTAGTGTTATTGGATAGCTGTTGCCTGTTGTAACTGCTCTCTCTCCTCAGCAGTTAATGGAAACCGCTACATGCCTGCCTCAACCATCTTGGAAAAATACGAGATTGGCAAGGTCATCGGAGATGGCAACTTCGCTGTGGTCAAAGCGTGTGTGGAGCGGTAGGTGAAACGCATTCACTCACACTGCAAATGTGTAATGATCAGTTGGCAGCCGTGTGCAGTGATCACACTGCACACGGCTGCCGCGCTGTGCAACTCATTGAGACGTGCACCACGTGCGGTAACTGCTCCATCAGGGTTTTTTGATCCTGATGACAGGTATTGTGGAGACAGAATTATCCCATAGATTAAACCCCGCTGAGAATTCCCTTCATTAGCCTTCTAATCTCTGAGTCAACACACTGCCCAGGCAGACAGGAGAGACGATGATGACGAGAGGAAGCCTGTCAAGTGTGTGTGTTCCCATAATCTGATGCACCTTCCTTGAAAGTACTTAGAGGTTCCCTGTAGAGTAACTTGTAGCTCTCTGAGTCAGCTCTGCATCCTGGTGTGAGTTGTTGAGCCTGACTGTATCTGCTCTGTACCTCTTGTATAAACGTGGCTAGTGCAGCTAACATACCTCTCCAATAACTCTGTAGCAGTGCTCCTGCTCACTGTAACTGAGGCTCTCTTGTGAGTACTTGATTTGAATTACAGATATTGTTGCAGCATCGGTGCTGTTGTTATTATTGGACCTAATTGCCCTGTTTCTCCTCAGGTCCACAGGAAAAGAGTTTGCACTGAAGATCATCGACAAGGCCAAGTGCACTGGAAAGGTCTCGCTCTGTCTGTTTTTTTTCCCTCACCATCTCCTTCTCCTGTTTCTTCTTTGTGTCTATTGCTGTCAGACCTGTGCACACACTCTCAAGGAAGGGTCACATGTTCCAGAATTCATTATTAACACACTCCACACCACTGTGCATCCCTCTGATCCGACACAGTGAGATTAGGCCAGTAATGTTTTATTCACCACCTAACTCAAATTATCTTCACACTTTCACACACGTACCATGACACACACTGACTCACACATCCTTGACACAAATTCAGATTCAATCAACAATGCAGTGTCTTTTGATTGGCATAAATGGATCCGTGTCCTGGAGCACACAGTAACTTGGATGTTTTGTCTCGGTGTGTTTCCAGGAGCGCCTCATAGAGAATGAGGTCGCGGTGCTGCGGAAGGTGAAACACCCCAACATCATCATGTTGATAGAGGAGGTGGACACTCCCTCTGAACTCTACCTGGTTATGGAGCTTGTCAAGGTACAGAAAGGGGGCAATAGCAGTGCACAAGCGACATTTCTCTATTTGGTTTGATCTTTAACCACATTGTTGATGTTGACACAGGGAGGGGATTTATTCGATGCCATCACCTCCTCGGCCAAATACACAGAGAGAGACGCCTGTGTCATGGTGTACAATCTCGCTGGAGCTCTGAAGTACCTGCACAGCACGAACATCGTCCACAGAGACATTAAACCAGAGAACCTGCTGGTATATATTTACACTCACACCAGTTTTTGTTCCTACAAATCCAGCTGCTCAGTGGGCTTTAACTGAGCATTATTATATTTTAGGTGTTTGAATATCCAGATGGTACCAAGTCATTGAAACTGGGGGACTTTGGCCTGGCCACAGTGGTGGAAGGACCTCTGTATACCGTGTGTGGAACTCCTACATATGTGGCTCCAGAAATCATCTCGGAGTCCGGGTAAGCTAGATCTATATTTCATTTAATTTCTTATTTTATACATTAGTCTTTCCAAAATTTGAATACGTTATTTTGCTGTTCTATATCCAGTCACTCAGCCATCTTGTTTGCAGTAAGCCATTTAGCTACAGTTAATACTTAAGTGACCCTTTCAGTCTCTCCTCTCTTCCCACAGTTATGGTCTGAAGGTGGATATCTGGGCTGCAGGTGTCATCACCTACATCCTTCTGTGTGGCTTCCCTCCATTTAGAAGGTACTCGTCCTCAGTTCATATCGCCCGATAAAGCTCATGTTTGAACTGACTCAAACCATGTTAACATGATTCATTCATGGATGATACATGCATAATACATGTGGATAATATTGACACGATGATATATGATAATATTAAAAAGGATTCAATTACATTATTTTGGCAACTTGTTTTTCATACTAATGACCTTTTGCTACATAGACAAACAGTTGCTGTGATTAGTCATCGTGTTAAGGATTGTCATCCTGCAGTCACAGTGTGGGAAGGAATTGACTTAACTTAATGTGATCCATGTTTAATCTATAGTACTTCACGGTGATTGTAATAAGTATATAATTAAACGATAGGTTACAGGTGAGGCCATTTATTATTATGCAAAGTGCAGTGATGTTTTTTTCACAATGGAAGTGTGCCATGTGTGCTGAGTAATATGTATGAATCTGTGTTCGCTGAGTGTTTGCGTATCTTTTTATGTAGTGAGAGTAACCTGCAAGAGGATCTGTTTGACCAGATCCTTCTAGGGCGACTGGACTTTCCCAGTCCTTACTGGGACAACATCACTGACTCAGCCAAGGTTGGGACCACACACACACACACACACACACACACACACACTTAAGCAACAACAACACACATTTATATCACATGTAATGACATTGCATTGAAGTCTGAAATAGATCTCCAAATAGTTTATATACACACACACACACACACCATGTGAACCCACATGGTTCACTCTCCAGTAATGACTACTGTCTGCCGAACAAAGCAGAAACCCCTCCAACCCTCTAAATTAGTGTCATGTATGAGGGTGACAGCCCACATTCAGCATGCAAGACGAAACTGCTAGTTAAACCCACTGTTATTACAGCGGCCCTGTCACTGTAGACATGTGCACAGTTATAGACACCACAGCAGGAAACTACTTGCAGTTGTGTAGCTTTGTGCAGGTGTAAATTTACGAAAGGCTGACTTTGACTTTGCGATTGCACGCAAAGCTGACAGTAGGTGTTAATATGCTGAACTGTGTTCATGCTCATTTTAAGGCTATGAGCTTCTGTCATGATATAGCAAATGTATGTCAAATGAAACATGGAATACTTAAAGCTACACTTATCAATATTTCTGCAATATGTGAAGGGATGGTGAAAGGTGACTACATATGGATATAGAGTTCCTACAACTCATCCTTCAGCTCATTGCTTTGGTTTTGTTGCCTGCAACTTTACTGTTTTGGTCCATTCACACTGCTTTTATCAGTGTTGTTTAGCTGCAGCAGGCAACTGTTTTCCTTCCTCCTCGTGTGTGTGTGTGTGTGTGTGTGTGTGTGTGTGTGTGTGTGTGTATGTTGTCAAAGTCAGGTCATAATGACACAATCACCTGTTAAAAAGTTAGAAGAATGTTCTAAACCTTGGTGTGTTTTGTTGCAGGAGCTGATTGGAAAGATGCTGCAGGTCAACGCTGAGGCTCGTTACACAGCACAAGACATCCTCTACCACCCGTGGATCACGGTATGTCATAGTCCTGCTTGTCTCTGTGTTTGCATGTATTTGTGTCGCACACAACTGCGAAGTGTGGTGCTGCGTCTGTACATTGACATTGTTTCTTGTGTGGAAACCCATTGCACCACGTCACCTCATTGCATGTTTGTGTGTATGTAGGACGAAGCAATCATGGAGAACAACATGAAGATGGAGGTCACAGGTAAACTGAAGACGCACTTTAACACTGCACCTAAGCACAACAACACCACAGCTGGAGTGTCCGTCATCATGGTAAGCACCCAAAAATATTCACAAACCAAGGTATAAACAATTCACAATTCAGTAAATATCCCTGTTATATCTTTGCACATTTTGTTTGTTTTGTTACTGCAGTCCTTTTTAGAGAGTACTCTTACAGCTTCATGAGATTGCTAACTTTCAGTGACCTCTTTAATCTGCAGTATTGATGTTTTGACATGGGTTTAATAGTAATTGACAAGGTGTCTGAAGCAGCTTGAACATGTCAGGCCCTTTTCCAAACACTTACTGCATGGAAGTGAATCTCTGACCCAAATACAGAAGATTGAGCTCCTTCTAATTCACTTTTATATGAATCTTACGCCCTTTTAATCACCGGTCTAAGAATATCTGACCTCAATCATCGTCCATGACGACGTTCAAGACAACCTTCTAAACAACTTGTTCTGCTGTAAACATGTAAGATGTGATTTTAGAGACGGGATGATGGAAGAAAAACTAGGACAGGACAGAATAAATCAATCCTGTAGCAGTCTCATTCCTCCTTCCTGTCCGTTTCAAGCATCACTTGCATCACTTCCTGTTGTACAGTTTGACTTCGTCCACTCCTCCATCTCATCAGTTCACACTTCTCATCAGCCCACTCTCTTCAGTCTGTCTGTCTGAACTGAAAGCAGGAGAGGGGCGTAATAGAAAGTGTCTATCTAAAAATTAGATTTCATCCTCGCTGTAAAGAGCCTCATTTCTTGTTGTAAATTTCATTTGACAGTTTGAGGTGTAAATGCGGAACCTGGCCTCGGCCCCTCCTCCTCCTCCTCCTCCTCCTCTCCATCTTCTTCCTCCTACCTCCTCCTCACCCCTCCCTCACACCCAACTCCAGGACCAAAGGGGACGCCTGGAGCTGAGAGCCGGGTACACACTTCATACCCCTCCTCCTGCTCCCTTCTTCCTTTCCAGCCATGGCCCTTCCCTTCACCCACTTCCCTCCAGCTATAACAACTCCCACCCCCGTTGCTCTCCCATTCCCTTCCTTCCTGCCTCTTTTTCAGGCCCCCTGTTGCTCTTCACCAACCGCCTGCTGAAGTAACTGCTCTCAATAACCAGCTGATGTGGACATCAATAAAACTCTCCCAACATGCACTCTGTCCTAACCCCTCTTGACTGTTTTCATACTTTTCATTCTGCTCCTTCGCTCAACTTTCATTCCATTCGTATCAATCACAAACTTCTGTGGGATGTGAAAATAACTTATGTTTTGAAGGATGCGTTTGTTTAATCACGATGTCACTGCGGTTGTTTAGCATGTTTACAGTGCTAATGCAAGAGCAGTTTGATTTGCCTCCCTCTCTGCCATATTTCATTTTTTTGTTGGTGATGTCATTCAAAATAGCTCCTTAAAATTAACGTTCTGTGCTTCCACAAATCTATAATTGGTTGCTCAGCACGGTTCAATGGTGCTCTGGTGCCACCTTGTGGGGAAGAAATGAGAACCGTGTCTGCACCATTTTGTAGTTTCAATTTGCAGAGATGGATGCAAAAGCCGATGTGGCTTTATTGCCTTGGATACGATATTTCCCCCCTCCAATTGTAAAGGACAGGGCTGACCGTTTTCTATATTTTTCTTGTCAACAAATCCTGAATGAAAAGACCAAAACCAACAATGTGTTGGTCCGTCTCTCAATACTTTCTGTGACTCTCAGCCAAAAAGTCAGTTGGTTCCTATGGAAGATGTGAATCTATAAAAGAGGCTCACAATTCTAAAGTTTCATTTCATGCTTCTGGGCCAGCAGGAGAGTGGTATATGTGGGGTTGAGTCAAAAGAAACTACAGTGGCTGTGTTTACTGAACATATCATGCAGTGCAACAGTGTGGCTCATGGATGGGTTTTTAATAGTTTTTGACAACAATAGAGCTCTATGGCACGGAAGAATAAGCTATATCAGCCTAACAGGCAACAACTCATTCTTGGTTTTAGTCTTGTCAGGTGTTTTGTTGACAATAAAAAATGATTTAGAATAATGTCAGTCCTAACTTTTAAAACTAGAACATTATAAAAACATATTTAAACATACTTCACCACTGCATTCCATTACGTTCTATATAAATATAGCACTAATTGACATGTGTTTCTGCCTGAATTAGTCACTTATAGAAAATCCAACAGTTTGTTCCAACTCAGTCTTCTGAAATGCAAAGGGTCATTTGGTCCAAACCAAATTGTGTTTTACTGATCTGAAACACCAGATTTAGCATTGAGTTGGAAAAACAACTGTCCACAGGCCTTCATGCTTGTCGTGTTGACTGTGTTGTGAAGCTGTGAGTAAGACTAGTCTCTGTCCCTTTTTGCTTCTCCCCTCTCCCTGCATTACGTCCCTGCGAATTAGCTCCCAGGCAATGGTATGTACTAACACTAAACGCCTTGTGTGTTCTGCTGCTCAGGTTCAGCACAAGGGCAAATGAGGAACATGATATCTATAAGTTTTCTGTCCTCCATAAGAACACATCATTGGCTTTACTCAAGACAAAGGCACCATGTATCTATCTGTTGACTGGAAAAGTTTACTTTCTCATTTGCCCTTTCTCTGCACATAGAATAGCGGTGATGATCTGATTTGTCTTCTCGCGGGGTGTGCGAAAACAATACTGACTTTTTGTTTAATCATCTTTCACTTATTTATGTCCATTTCCATGAGCTTGTTTCATTGTGTGTGTTGTTCATTCATAGAGATCATTGAAAAAAATACAAGACTGGGTCAGCGTTTAATGGTTGTAGGTTTAAAAAGGAAACAATTAGTTGATTAAATCCCATTTCTTAATGCAAGAGCGAGAGATCTTTCAAAGGAAGTCACACAAACATTATTCCTTTCACACTAAAGTTTCCTGAATTCAATGTAGATTGAGGCACTGTATCTCTCTCTGTTCTGATTGGTGTTATTATTGCTTCAGTAGTACGCAAGTATCAAGCTGATGGTCTGTTCGTCTGTTTTGCCAGAGCACAGCTCTAGATAAGAAGACCATCCCGCTCACCACCCTTCATCGTCCACAGCCCCAAACAGTGCCATGTCCTCCGCCGTCGGCTGGCAAGAAAGTCCCATCTTCCCTTTCAGTCAAACCAGCCTCACTGATGAAGTCAGGACCGGCTTCACCAAACAAATGGGCATCACGCGCCAAAGAACCAAAACCCGCCACGCTGGCGTCACCCACCAAGACCGCTCGTCTCAAGGCACCCAAGACTCTTGTGCCTGATGCTACATCCACCTCTGATGCTCCCTGCTCTCATTCCCCAACTGACGGTGTTGATTTCGCTCCTTCTGCCCCCATAAGTTTACCTCATTTCTCCCCTTCACCCTCTGCCGAAACGTTCCCTATCACCCGTTTGCCCGTTTCCTCCAATCCTGATATAGGAACTTCACCCTTCTCCGCTCCCTGCTTTTCTTTCGAAACTCCCTCACTCTCTGACCATCCTGCTGTTTTTACCGGCAACACTCCCTCTACACCCGTCCTGTGCACTCCCCCGTCATCTCCAACCAAACCAGCCCAAACCTCCTCTTCTCCTACCAAACCAGCCTCTCGTTCTCCCTCTTCTCCTACC